ACTAAAAGCTCAGACACTTAGCTATCCTGATACCGATGTTATTACTGGGGAAATTGTTTATTGACAGTGATCTTGAACACGGTCGGTGCTAGATATACAGTCTAGAAATAAACACCACACATACTTATCGCTATCCTATAATGTATGGCAGCAACAGCATCGAAGGCACGTTTTTTCCTATTTTTAATCAGACTGATTTGAATCAGTATATTCATTAAAAACAGGCAGCTCTACTTAATAAATTGATCTGTTTCGTTAAAGACTTCAAGCACCATACTTAAGTATACCATAATTCTTTCGGCTAAACTGAATTATACGACAACCAAGAACACTAAACTAAGCAAGTGTCATAATTATTGTTTCATTTACACAGACATGTTGCTCAAAGTAGTTAAATGGACATAATTCAGCCGATAATACCGAAACACGAAATATAGGCCAGTCGAACTTGCCTAACAGAAGACAATCGATATACATATATTGCTTTCAGACTGAAGACAACAGTCAGTTGTTTATAAAAACATAAGTTACATTACAACAAACCTTTCTTCAGTAACATTATGCTCTGACGGTCTATTTGGAAGCAACCAACTACGTGATTAAACTCACTATGACATGGGGTATCGTCCCAGCGTTCAATGAAGGTACAGTGTAACACAGTCGTATGTGGCGAATTAAAATTACAACCAGAGCAAAATGAACAGCGTAATCTAGTTATTTAATAAAAAATTCATTATGAAACGACAAATTCTATGACTACTTGAACGCACAGATGACCGTTATGACACGGCGATACATTAGGCTTACATGGTTGGGCTGCGGATAAAATCACCCATCAACTCGAATTAATTCACTTTGTTGTTCCCGCCATCTTCATCGCTGGGTTGAATATCCATCTTCACTGCTGTCTCCTGTTCAGCTTTGAGGATTGTGTAGTTAGGGCCCAACGCCACTGCAAGTTTATAGACTGAAATGAAGTGCTGAGTAAAAAACAAGATGAAGAATTGCATCCAGATAACAATTTTGTCGCTGCTTACAATGTTAGTCAATATGTACATAAGTAAAAATCGTTCGAGAACGCTAAAAAGAAAAATAGGATTGTTAATAGGCTGCATTTCTTTAGTTGGGCCTACCAATGCAGAATTATGGTCTACTTCGTTATTAGTACTACTATAATAATGGGCCTTATTCTAAATATATGGACGTCATGATTTGACTGCCTAATCTATAAGACCTTACGCAGAAGTCACATCATTATCTACACTGACTCATCGTATCGTGACAATTAACAGCATGTTAGCCAGTACTTCTAAAGAACACATTTAGGCTGAAGATAAAATAATGAATCTGATGTGAATAAAGACAAGTTATGCAGAATGACCAAGCCTGTGACGTTGAGCCACGCCCTCTGACTGAATTCAGTTACTTCTTCCCACCTTTTCTATTGTTGACCCCTTCGTGTTAATCGTTGATAAAGCGTTTTCCCAGTTATCTCATGTTCAGCTTTGAGGACTGTGCGATTAGGATCAATACCACCACATATCCATCATTGTCTTGAGCTCCGCCGCTTTATTTCTGGTCTGTAAGCGTTTGTGCAGCACAGCCTTAATTTTGTAGAGAACTATCCCTTACCATCCAAAGTAGTCTGGGCGACGCATATTTATTTCTACTTCTTCTGATCGCTTCTTAATACGACCAATCAGCCTAAGACTCGCACTTACATATATGTATGAGTTTTACAGTGTTAGGTTTCCTTCTTCAGTAGAAGCTAAAGGTAACCTTTAAGAGGCTGCTTTTTTGAGCCGAATTTTGTTGTATTTTATAAAGATTACAGACGTTAATTCCTAAAACTATTTCCGGGAGTAGCTTGCTTATTAAGGAGTTGATGTGACTGACGTCGTGTTCAAATCCAGCCTTTGATTCCTTTTCAAAAGATTCCCATGACCTATGAGAAATGGCTGTTTGTCAGTGAGGTCCGACCTAACAAGCTGCAAAGTTTTGTTTCCTAAGATATTCTCATCTCTGTTGTCCGATTTGGCGTCAATCGTCTCACTCCGTTTCCCCACTTTCCTTTTTCTGGGTACAACCATAAGTCGTTCATTTACGTTATTATGTCTCTTGTTCAGATCATTCACACCTCTCAGGCTTTGCTCCCCAATAGTCTGTTTTGAGTTGATTTGTGAATCCGTAACTGAAACCATAGACTCATATATCTTGGTGCTGCCTATATTTTGTCTCTTCTCAGCATGCCTTTTCTCTTCCCTTGTAACGATGCCTACATCTCAGTGCTTGTCATCCGCTTCTCTAATGGGGTCCACCTTGATGGTCTCATTCAAACCCATAGCTTGGCTCGTGATGCCCCCTATTTCCCCGGAAAATGAAATCTGCTCACCTACTGCTGCCTTTTTATCTGAGGACATGTTTTCAGCTGTGTTCAACAGCACAATCGTCTCGGGGCACAGTAGAGATGCTGTAGAATAGCATGCTTTGCACAGTCAATGTGATAGTGGGTCGCATCACTTTTTGTATGCAGCAGATATTTGTCTGGGATTTATATTACGATGCCATGTATTGCGCTTTCTACATCGCATTCCATCGCTGACCGGGAAATAGCATGTAAGTCTACCACAACGACATTTTGCTTGAGCCATGAAATTGTTTAGTGATCTCACAGAAAAAACGACAACGGAAACTGGTTTCAATGATAGATGTCTTGCAAGGCTTTATAAGTGATAGAAACTGGACACACAAAAACAAATGTTTGTATTCTGCTGTACATAACAACAATGAAAGAAGTTGACTTCAGTAGACATAAAAAGACCTTAACACTTTTGGATACAAATAATGCTAAAAGACGTGGTCAATGACGATTTAAGTTGTGTAAGAGTTCTACGTGACCGCATTTCCTTCGTAGCCTAGCAAAGAGGCAAGCGTAAAATGTAACGAAAAACGTGGCTTTAATTTGCTTCACTACAACATCCTGATTTCTATAGTGTTATGTACAATTTATGGCATATCGTGCAATATCAAAATTTGCTACAGTTTCATTACGAGTAGTTCTTAAATGTAAAGTTGGATTGAGTTGTGTTCGTAAAACCTAACAAGGAACCCAGTTTCTGTGCTGAACATCCACCTTTCTAGGAAAGATCAGAAGTATAAAGTCCCTCAAAACAACCCTGTATTTTGTCGATAACCTGCCGGTTCGGGAAATGCACTCAACTGGATATACCTAGGCACTATTCTAGTATATATCGAGGACATACCTTATAGAGGATCATTTTGGATCCCTTTAAATGTAAGGTACCACTAATAAACTCCAAAGATTTACGGGCTTTAGAGACTTAAGATAAGACTTGTTCTTTGAATGAATGATTTTAGAGTACCTCGCTCCTAATTCACAAATGTTACTTTATCGTTTAAATTTTACTCTTCTTAAATGTAAGCTTATCTGTGTGCATGGAACCGCAAATTTGAGTACTAAAAGAGGGAAACAATTCATTACACCAGTCTTGGAGTTTATTCAGATTGTAGTGGTAACTAAATCCCTATAATCAATGGCTTTGTACACCGACATTTGATGCCGACCATATTAGTTCCGATGGAGTCACCTGACTGAAGGCGCTCGGTCACGCATCCGCACCAGATCACGAGTGGGTACGCTGCGCCAGCTTAGATCAGTCACTTCTCGATACGCAAATAGCTTATCAAATATATCTTCGAAACTTTTCGCTCCTGACCTCTGGTTTCACTGGGTTGGCACGTTTTAACCATAGATGTTACTGGTTAAGGTGTTCTCAAACTCCAAGTACTTATGGCATCTTTAAGATCGTTCTAAATTTTACGACTGATTTGTACACTGAGTTTGAATGGACTGCATATACTACACTAGCGATCGAACTTCCGGTATTCGTTCTGAACTTAGAGTTAATAAACCGAAGTTTATCTGTTTGAACAGAACTACTTACCTTTTTATAGCGTACGAGGCTTTCTTGAGTCAATCTTGTCAAGTCACACCAAACAAAAACTCCGTGCTAAATTAATCCGTTTGCAATTTAAGAATGAAAACAGATTATGTCACAGTACAAAATACCTCAAACGGCACAACTTGTGCTATACAATCAAGGCTTGTCTATCACGAAATAGTGTACTAAATAGCGGAGGAAACAATAATTAGGTGTCTGGATCTTGGTGGACCAAATATATCCATTCTAAAACTAAGACAAATTTTTAAAAAGTAAAAGGTTCCGTTAGTTGGTGTAACGAAATATAAATTTTGCACAGAGGAAAATATGCACTGTTTCTCAAATTTTAAAAAGGAGGTGTATTTGAGTTGCAGTCTTGTGGTCCATAATAAGTAGTCAGTGATTCCAAATTTGGTTAATGAAATTCAGGATGTGTATCTAGAGTAATCACGTGACGAAGATATCAATACCGTCTGTGAACATAAACATCAAATATATCAGAGACATGTTATCGGGACAGGTGATAAGTGAGAACAAGAAGGATGTGCTCGCAAAAGTGTATTTATGGGTGACAACCGATATGTCATTCCACGAGACAGCAAACTGGGAACGAGAAATTGAGATTAAAGTGTCTTCGAACAAAACGTTTACAGTCAGTAGTAGCAACTGCGCAATTTATAAGAAATAATAAAAAATTGGAACAACAGCAAATACTGATATCAGAATAAGCTCATGTCACCTATGTCCACAGGGACTCGGGAATTATTAAGGGCACTGTGAACAAAGTGGGATCAAATATCTATCTGAAAATGCTCGAGTCACCGTTTCTAGGAAGTAGACTAAGGTCAACAATCACCAACCGAACCACGCTGTAACCTTAAGTCTAGTCAAACACTACCTAATTGCCAATGTGCCGACAACGTGCTACGATAAGATTAAATCAAAAAAGTAAATCTTGGTCACGATCAAACAATGGGAAACCTAACAAATAAAATTGATAAACAAAGATGTTTTTAATAATTTATTGAATTTTGAAACACACTAACTCTTCTGAGGCTTCTTGACCTTGGTGTATAAACAATTTGTGTCTGTGAAAGCCGGGCTTTATTTATTGTGAAATAATACTGTGTAAGTGATAACCTTGTGTTTCTGTGTACAGTTGACTTTCAAAGTAGTCAGTTCTCTAGAGACTTGTTTTTAATCGAGTTCATTCATATTCAACGTCTTTCTCGCGAAACACTGATTGTTCGCTTTGTCCTCGCCTGTTGTTTTGTACGGTTCTAGGTCTCTGGCAATATCAGTAGGGGTAGTATAGCCACTTTATTGTTCTAGTTCTCGTTAGTTTGGCAGTTTGTGGATTTGTATGTATGTCTTGTGGGAGAATGAGTCCTTTACCCAATCTTCGAAGATCGGGAAAATTTTCTATCCGTTTTGGGTAAACCGTTATAGAAAATTCGGGAAAATGTTGGGGACTTCCCCAAAATTTGAGGAAAACCTCGAAACCGAGAGATTAGGTGTCTCAATGCAGTAGGGCTTCTGGATATCAACACCTACTACATTGCCGGGCAAGAATTTGGTTGGTTGTAATGTGAGAAATAATAAGGAAAAATTCTATTGCTAATAGAAAACGACTGTTTCATGGAATGATAAACAAATAAGTTAATTGGTGGTGCCGACAACGTGAGTAAACCGAATTGTATGAATGAGGAGGGAAACGGAGATAACAATAAAAGAGATAGGAAGTATTTACTGTTATTTAATAATGATAACAGTAGGTAAATTATGGAACATGCATCAGAAAGCTGGTTCATTAGGTAAATGGTAACCCACGGGTGAGTATGTGTTTGTCAAGTTTCCTTTTGAAGCTATCCACTGAGAAGGTTAGCGTCCAAATGCCCTGGTACGGCCGAGAGTGGGGAGAGTCCACCCTCCCTCTCGAAATGCTCTCACATGGCCACGCGTATATAGCCTCTGCTAGGGAAGTTCTACTCACTGCCTTTTCGTAGCGGGGGTGTTGTTTACGAAGTTGAGAGGACGAAAAGCGAATGTCCGGCGCTTTAACCGGATTCCAAACCAATGGTGCACATGGGCTCCAGTATCCTGCGAGAACAAATGGCGTATGAACCAATTGTTGGTCACCGGCTTCCATGGGACTGTATCTCCTCACGATGCTCCAATGCCTTGTGGATCAGACCTTTAGGTCAAAGGCTCGGGGAGTGGCCCCCTAAGAAAACCACCTGTTTCGGTCTGGGTACCCGAGCAGTATCACAGCCCACACACAAATCGAATGTAGGTTCTTCGTACCAAATGAGACAGGATGTTCATGATATGAAGTTTCGAAAGCAATACTAAAATGGTCCTAAACAAATCCAAGTACTTTCTAGGGTCAGAAGAGGGTCATAGATTAGTGAAGAATTAGGGTTAAGATTTGGAGTTAGGGATTAGAGTTGGAGTTTTCATCACAAACTGACATCAGATATAATACTGAAATGCTATTTGTTCTCACTTATGAATAAATTTTGCGTCACTGTCTTAGACTTTCTATCCATAAATTAGTCTTAACAAAATTTACCGTTTTACAAAAATATTAGTGGATGTATGTAACTTATTTATTTTCGTGATGCTTTTGCAAGACTTGAATCAGTTATTATATTTTACGGTTTTGCCACTCGTTTTAGGAGGACATAACTGAGCACTCCTGAAAGACTGAATAGTCTTCACCATCAGTTAGTTCAACAAGTGAGCACTGATGTTCATCGTGATTTTTTTTCAATAAAAGAGCGGGATAACACGAATTTATTTCCAGCTGCTTACAACCTGATACTAAAAAATCAGTTGCAAAATGGGTCACTTTAAAGTAACTTCCAACTAAACTCTTCCATGTATTTTTAAGCCCATCTTATGATTATGACTTGTAACTATCAGCAACTCACGAGAATCAAACAAAATATAGTAAATTCCTACTATTCTGCTCAGATCCTTGTTCTTACTCTCTTCAAGATGATGAAGGGAACTGTGTAAAAGATAAAGTGATGAGTTGTTCTGGATAGAGAATTCTCGACCTTGAGTATGCGGATTTCTTATTGTGCGATGATACCCAAGCCATGCAATCCTCACTTAATCGTTTGGCAGTTAGTGTCCGTCGGTATGGTATATGCTTTGCATCGAAGTGCAAAGTAACTTCACAAGACTGATCCTATACTCACCCTGGGTAGTGGGCAGATAATAGTCGAGAGGTTCGTGTATCTGGGTATGGCGCATATATATTTGGTTCCCTTTTGTACCAATATTTATGTATTCAAATAAATAAATAAAACATCCATTATATCTTCTAAAAATTAATAACAATATGTGTTACTGAAGTTGCTTAGCCCAATTTTGTTGATACCATCACAAAATGGCCTATCTGATTCTGAAAATATATCTCTGCCATCTCAAAAAAGCTAAGTTGACTGGTTAGTAACAGAATTAGAGTGAATTCAAGGATCTCCATCTGATTATTTCACAAGCTCGATAAAAATTTTGATATTGACCAGAATCGCGTGTCTTCCACCCATTGTTTTTGGGTTGGCAATTATTGCATAGCGGTTGTGATTCCCCATCGCCTGTTGATGATTAATTTTGAGATAGCTGATTAGTGAACTTGTTATTGAAAGTGTGTGCTCATGTGATAAGCATTTTGTCACCCGTAATAATTTGTTAATTGGCTGTAGAATGTGCATCTTTGTAATCTGATTATTTCAAATCCAAGTAGCATTAACTGGTTTGATTGAATGTGAGAATTTACAAGTTTACATTTGAATTTTATTTTGAGTAAATAATTCTGTCTGACTGTTCTATCCGAGTTTTGATAAAAGTTTCGACTTGTGAAAAAAGTAGACACCAATTCTATTTGACTGCCCTTCCATACTCCTGTCTGCAAATATATATCGGGATCAACTGTTTTTTGTGGATATTACAGTCATTTCAATGGTTGAGGTCATAAGTAAATTGGAGCTAGACCACCATGGAAAACCTGTGAGCACTGGACGGCCGTTTCGTCGTATTGTGGGGCTCTTCAACAATGCGTACTCACGATCCCACCTCATGAGATCCGAACCCAGGACCTATCAGTCTCACTCATGAGCGCTTAAACTTTAGACCGCTGAGCCGGCCGACATTAAACGGTTTTAATGTCTAACTTCAACCAAATAATACTTATGACTGTGATTTTGTCAACAGTGATTCATAATAGAAAAGAGTTGCTGGATTTCCCTATGAAAACGGTTTCGTTAATAAATGCAAGGTTGTAATTGCGTTATATTACAAATTCATTATAAGTGAAAATTGTTTTCAACTGTACATTGTCCATTCTATGTTGTTGAGTAGTATATAATTCTGACGAAAGAATACTTTTCTGTGTATGTAGTAATTTAGATCAGTTATTGTGTTTGGGAATTGCGTGGTAGGTTTATTTTACGTAATGTCAATAGCAAATGTTTTGTAAGTATGCAGTCTGATCAAATCATTGTCTGAATTTATTTTGATGTTATTTGTAAATGACATCGCATACATTATTTATTTAGAAAGTCTGAAATCATTTTTCCAATCATGGGTTTTACTTGTTAAGCATATTAAAGGAGGCTGACAAATTCTATGTACATATTTGTAATATTTGGGTACTTTTTAATATTAAACCTGAAACAGCTAAACGTTTAAAAAAATAGCCTTTTTTGACAAGTAATTGAAATATTGGTCGTATTAATTGTAAATGGACAGACGTACGTCTGACATCAGAAATTTTTTTATACCCATTATACTGCTGAATGCAAATAATGTAAACTGCATCAATTGAAATTCAGTTATACCAACGTTTAATTTCGATGTATTAATAACTAAAGGTGTACATTTGTCTAGTTGAACAATTAAAAAAACAATAAAATATTCTTATTAAACTTTGCATGTACTATTGTTAGACAGATTAGTATCCATAGTTCTCTTTATTATCTTAAAGATTAGTATCCATTAGATGATATAGACATTTGATAAACCATAAAGAAGTATTCCTAATATGTGGGCTACGATCACATTGTTATTATTATTAATCTCAAATTATTATTTCAGTTAACCTTTCCTATAGAAATAATGTTGTTGTACCAGTGATTTAATCTTGGTACATAATTCCCAATTATTGTACAGTAAATCAATGGTAATGATAACTTAAACTTATTCGTACCAATTTTCAGTAAACAATTAAAGATAAAAAAACTTTTTCATTAGTAGTGACTGAAATGTTGTACGCAAGGAGTTATCAGATAAACATTTAAACTACTTCGCTGACAATGAGATTAAAGAAAATTGTTTGATGCCATTTTTTAACCAATTGAAACAAAAGAAATTAAATAAAATTGTGCATGGCCCTAAAGAGGATCTTTACTCGGTCTCTTAACATTTCAGATTGTCCCGAATAGTAGCGCTGTACATGGGTCAGTGGAATCCATGGAATTGTGGCGGTGGGTTCCAGCCACGAAATAAATGAAACATCGCATCGCAGCGACAAAAAGATCCATGTACTTCCATCAGCAGTTAGTGACTGAGCAAGATTGCAGTCGGTTGTCGCGGGCATCTTCATCATTGCTTAACGTGGCATCCAAATCCACGTTTGTTCGATAGTTGGGAATTTTCTTCTGTTGGATCAACGGCATTGTAACATCCATGGAATCGGAGGCTCCATCTGAAACTCAGTTGCTGGCGATAATGTCAACGGCGCTGGAGACATTGTTCCGTAAACCACTTGATGCGCGGAGTTATAGACAACACTGAATTGTCCTTCAGACATACGTCTTACCAAGGAATGCAATGTTTTTTGATGCTTGAAGAATTGGGGAGACGCAAAAAGGTAAAACCACTGCTAATTCATGAATCGAAAGCCACCCCTCTTTTAAACCGAAGCGTCCGGTTCCCTATGTAGCGCTGCCCATTGTTGAGAAAGAAATAAAATGCCTTCAAAGAAGTGGAATCATAGAAGCAGTGAGTTTTTCTAATCGGGCAGCATCAATAGTGATTGTTTAGAAGCCTAATGGAAGTGTCTGGCTATGTGCAGATTATTCGACAGGTTTAAACAAAGGACTTAAAGCCCATCAGTACCCTTTGTTAGAGGACGTATTTGCGAAACCGAATGTGGGGAAGTATTTCGCAAATCTATCAGAAGCTTATCCACAGCATTACCTGACAACAAACATGCATAAAGGTTTGTTCCAGTATAAAAGACTTCCTTTTGGAGTAAAGACCGCCCCTTCAATCTTTCACCAAATTATGGACGCTATGTTGCAAGACATTCCTGGTACTGCGACGTATCTCGATGATATACTAATCATGGGTACGGACCCCACTGACTTACGGAATCGGAGCAGTGATTTCATATACCTACCCTGACGGATCTGAGAAAACGATCATCCACATTACACGATCTCTGACGACGACAGAAAAGAACGACAGTCAGATAGAGAAAGAAGCCCTCTCCATTATATTCTCTGTAAAAAGTTCAACAATATGCCATTTAGCAGACAGTTTACCTTACTAACAGACCACAAACGGCTACTGACAGTTTTTGGATCCAAGAAGGGTGTCCCTGTATATACAGCGATAGGCAACTACATTGCTGGCCTATGATTTCAAGTTAAATTATCAATCGACAACGAATTTTGGACAGGCAGATGCCTGCCGTAGAAGTTAAGGCTGAAGTTCATATAGTGTTGGCAGACTCAGTTTCCGGACTGCCGGTCACATTTGAAGCCAATAAACAAGCTAGTAAAAAGGATAATCTGTTGAAGATTTTTCGTCGCTGTATACTCAACAAGTGGCCCTCATTTAGACTGCATGAAGAGCTCTTACAATATTTCCGTCGACGAGATTCCCCGACAGTTGTTGATTCGTGCACTATGTTTGGCCACCGTATCATTATCCCCAGAGTTCTTCGACATCAAGTCCTTAAACAGTTCCATAGAGGGTACCTGGAGATTAAAGTGAAGTCACTGGTTCGGAGCTACGTATATTGGCCGTCAACGGACCGTGATATAAAACAGAAGTGTCGCAGTTGTTGGTCCTGTCAAGAAACCACAAAGAAACCGACAAAAGCAGAACCACAAACATGGCCAAAACTGGACGAACCTTGGTAAAGAACACACGCTGATTTCGTCGGTTTAATACAAGGTAGAAATTACTTGGTTGTTTTAGATGCTTTCACGAAATGGCCGGAAGTATATGGTATGCCGAACACGACGTCAGAGTAAAATAAGAAAATTGTCAAGATTGTTTGCTTGTTTTGGGGTCCCAGAGATCTTGGTAACCGACAACGGCACTCAGTTCGTGTCATCCGCTTTTAAACGGTTTTTCAGCGAAAAAGCATAACTCATCTACAGTCTGCTCCAGTTCAGTCGAATGTATTATCGTCCATAATTTGAAAAGTTGCTCTGTCGACAAGTACTTACATTTTATATCAATTTTAAGAAATAAATAACCAATTATCCAGAATTTAAAACTAGTCATTTATTTGGACGAAACGGAATGAAAACATTTTAAAAATGGGATGAAAAAACTCAATTAAAAAAATACAAGAATCGCCGTGCGTTTAATGATATTCCTGTTTTGGGAGCAGAATGTAGTGTTACTTTTCTCATCTAATTATTTGAAGTTGAAGCAATGAAGTGTGTACTTGGCATCAGGACTAATTTTTTCTTCTAAGCTGTCTAATTTGAGTTAGGAAGGACGGCATTTGAACTTTGATCTCATTGTTATCAATCAATTACTTCAACTAATAAGCCATTACTGCATCTGTCATCATAGGTTCCATAAACAAGGTATGATTAGGCCAATTCGTCGTATATCTTAGTATAAGGTTATTCTGTATTGTGTAGTAGTGTCCAGATTTTCATTCACAAGCTTTATATGTTCTAAAAAGCACTTCATGCTAGCCATCTTTTCTCACCAGTGCTAGACTGACTAACCCTAAGCCATATTTTATATGCCGCTAGTGATCCTCCTCAATGGTGTTGTGGATATAAAATATAGCTCAGAATGAGAGCCAGTGGTGGTCCTGCCGTAGTTTTATCAATCCATGCTTTCATAAGCAATAAAATATATTTTGGAAATGAACGAAATCTATCTCTCCTGCCTTAATGTTATAGTACATCTGAACCTTAAACTTTGATTTATAATTTTTCTTTCATCCACAATTATAGATTATATGCAGTCAAATCAACGGTCAACGTCGAGTAATCAACCTAATTTTCCACGCAAAAGAAATACACATGTTCAAGGGTTGAAATCTAGACTTCGATCAAATATTAATTCAATTTTATCCAATTATGAAATGATTTTGTCCCGATCCAAGGTACATTGTAAATTCCTGTGCTTACTTTTTCTGTCTGTAATTACAAAATTTTAGATTGACCCAAATGAGGTTACTAAAGGTCTTGGTCCATATGCTCAATGTGCTCAAGATACATTTGAATTCAGCGTAAGAGCAGCAAATATAGTAAGTTTTATTGTGAAGTTTCTTTGTGATTATAGGAAGAATAGTTGTCCGAATGTTTTTTTCAAACTGGATTTCACCAACCCTTATTCATTAAATAATCAGTGTGTTTTCTCTTCATTTGATTTGTTCCTTACGTTAATGTTTATTCTCGACTGGCGGACGAAGAACAACTAAAAGTTAGCAATTACTGATCAACTATTTCAAAAATTCAAAACCACACCAAAATCGTACGCAAAATCTTCATAACTTAAGGCAGATACTTTACCATTAAACCAGTGGTTAGAAGCTTGATAATCTACAGTTCCAACTTCACTCTATTTTTGATTCAGTAAACTTAGCGTTTTCAGGCTTTTTTAAAGGTGGACTTTTAATAAATATTTGCTGATATATATATATATATATATATATATATATATATATATATTATACTTGCGAGTAACCATTACGTTCTTATATTGCGTTCTAATATTGACTGCTTAAAACTAGCTATTCACATCAGTAAACTGTATTCAAGGATCATGTGGACAATAAGACAATTGATGTAGTTATTTATATGACTCAACCAGTGTTTCAAGTTGCAAACCCACTTCACCTACTTATATTTAAAATAACTGGGTGTTATTCCTAACCTTCACAGCAATTTTGTTCTAATTCGAGTACATGAACTTGTAATTAGTTGCTTATATATACTAAATTTCATCCGCAACATGGATTGCAAGTTTTAGAATAATAATCAACTATTCTATATCACGTAATTGGAATAGCATTTTTAGCGTGAAATAAATTTATTTTATTCTTGGTCTTTTCTCATTAGCTTTTAGTGGCCGTTGTACTATTCGGATCGTTATTGATGTAGATGAAATATGGACCCCACATACATCGTATATACTCTGTCAATGAATACCGTTGATAACAATGTGGTTATGAAAATTCAATACGAGTGTTTCAGATGTTTACATTTCATACGTTCAATTCTCCTGACAGACAAAGGAATAAGCAACGGAGAAAGCAAACGTGCCTACTCGAAATACTACTCATTACAAGCGTCCTCTCTCTATAGAAATGCTTTCATATAACCACGCGTATATAGACACTATCAGTCAAGTTTTAATCGCTGCCTTCTCGTGGCGCGAGGGGGTTTACGAGCTTGAGAGGACAAAAAGCAAGCATCTGACCTTTGAAATGGGCTAAGGGTCCACCTCGAGATGCTGAAAAACCCTGATTCTAAACCAAAATGCACATGGGCACCAGGACCCTGAGGGGACAAAAAGAGTGTGAAATTATTTTTGGTCACTACCTACTTATAGGACGTCATCTGTCATTGTTCTACTGCCTTGTGGACTAGACCTCTGAGTCAAAGGCTTTGGTAGTTGCCTGCTAAGAAAACCACCTACTTTCGTCTAGGCACCCGGGGAGTATCCCAGCGACCACACAACTTTATTGGTCTGTGTGGCGCCTATATATTTTGCCTCCCCTTTGTACCAATGTTTGTGTTTGAATTAATAATATTGAAAAGTTTTATTTTTATTGGTACAATGAAGCACCATATATATATGTTCCTCACTTCGTCATTCAATTTTTGTGAGGGCTGGAATACTCCCTGGGCGCTCAAACCGAAACAGGGATAATCGAAAGAATACGGTTAGTAGGAAGGTAAAAATAATTTATTAGTCACTTAGTGCCTAAGTTATTAAAGTCTATCCAAAGTCTAGGATAAACACATATTTAACGGTACTATGTGCTACGAGTTCTATATTATCTCTTGAAATGATGATAATCAATAAAATAGAATGAATACATCTCGCTTTCTAAATGTGTTGTTTCAACTGTTGTCCAAATATTCCAATGATGAATTTATATAATAATTCTTTAACTCATTATACAATGTTATCAGTTCAAATAAAATATTTTCAGCATTATATTGTAATTGTTCGAAATTTGTTCTCAGAGTGATTATTAATGTCATTACTAATACAGTCAGTCAGTCAGCTACAACGTAGGACCAAGCACATATATGCATCGGTCCAAGTTACCATACCTCATTAACAAAACAAGATGGACACCGGATCCATAAAAGTAGTTAATTCAGTTGTGGTAATATATAAAAGAAAGATTGCAATAAGGATATAGTACAGGAAGAAAGAATTAGTTCGTAGAAAGAAAGATATGAAGCGATTTTAATCTCTTAGTTTAAGGGAAGACAGAGGGTTCATACACCGACGCCGTTGTGATCGATTCCGAGCCATGTCACTAAGTCTCCAACCATTGGTTACGATAGTCACGCGGGCCCCAACCAAGTAGTCTAAATCTACCAACATGGCTCAGACTAGAAGTTAATGTCTTCAAGCACTGATGCCACGTTTTGGTTTGGCCGCTTCTAACTTTCTTCCAACCATCTCCAGCACCGGTTAGCATTGCACGTCGTGGTAATCGGTGTTCGGGCACACATAACACGGCCCAACCATCCCAGTTAATGAAGATCCACAACCTCATCACCTGATCTACCATCACTCCCTAACACCCTGTGCCTAACCTCACTATTACTTACCCGGTGATCCCAGAAGACGCCAGCAATATTTCTAAGGCCAGTCAGTCAGTCAGTAACATCTGTGGTCAAATACTAGTAGCTTACGAGTGTCTTCTACTCTTAGTGGCCATGTTTCGCTGCCGTAAATTAAAACAGAACAGACTGTCACGCATTATACTCGTCCTTTTATTGATAGACGGATATCTCGCCTTCGCCATAGGTGACGTAAGTTGGCAAAAGCCAAGCGAGCTTTTCGAATCCGTGCTAATACACTATCATAAAACATTTCTATTCTTCATATTTGTAATAATAATAATAGTATTAATTTTTTTTTCATTTTTTAGGTACATGCTTGTGAAAATATCACTCGTCTAGTATCAGAAATTAAACAATTTTTAATATTGGGCGATTTTCGTTGGTTAGCACGAGTGAATTCATTAAATGAAGAAAAATTGATTCTTCGAAAATTAGATTTAGATCGTGTCAGTAATCGATTACGTGATAAACTTGTTGCTGAATTACATAACTTAGAACAAGAAACAAGTCCTGATTATCCTATTATTACTTTTCCAAAAAACTATTCAACAGTAAAAAAAAATACAAGTTAACTGTTGTATCTTCACGTACTTTTGTCAATTATAAATATCCATTGAGTTAGTTATATTGATATTCCTTAGCGTTGATCATTCATTCCATGATGGAAACTCTTAGTAAATGAGAAATTTTCTGTTCCTAATCAACAATGTAAACATTGTTCTCTCCCCTTAATTGCAAAAAAATTTTTTACTTCAAAGCTGGTCTAAATCAATGCTTGAACTAATGATAAGGAATATATTAATTGGTCGCTTTAACTACTTCACTTATTTTGGAAGTTCTATCAGCCCTGATAAGTTGGTATCTGACCAAATTTTGATACGGATTCAGAAGGGTCGGTGAGCAATTCCAAACTTGCATCTTAGTCATCCCAACGTAGATATAAAAAACAAGGTGTTCTAATAAAACTGACTACGTGTGAGTAGTTGTGATAGGTTTTTATGTTTTGTCACATCATTAACATTAACAGACGTTGTACGTCCGATAGTTTCAGGACAACGTTGTTCAAAGGATTCAACTTTTCTTCAATATAATCTTAATTATGTATCATAATAATAGCCAAGTGTGAATTCGCTATTTGTTTGGTGATTGACTAGGTAATGATATGACTAATCATAAGATAAATGTGTAGAAAACATCATATAATATTACTAAGATTATTTCAATCCACTGAATACAGGTTAATGTACGTCTTCAACCCACACTCCAAGTGTGAGGGCTAGTGATACTACTCAGTTACTCAGACCAAAGTAGGTGGAGCGGCGTTCGAACTTATGAGTTAGTGACTAAAGATCGAGCACCTAAACAAGTCACCATTCTACTAAAATCATAGAGAAAACCAATGCTAGTAACCTTTTACGACTAATTGTTAGTTTCTGTATTCGGCTTTCAGGCACGCTTTATGTAAGACTTGATGATATACTGCTTAGCTACCCTAATCGATATATGTGGGACAAAATTTCAACCTCTACCCTACTAATTGGAAGTCAGATGATGGTGGTTGTTGTAGTTCTCCAAGTTTCAACTCCGTACAGTAGAACTAGGATGATATTAGCTTGCAGTTCTGCAGCTTTCTCCTGAGGATAAGCAGTATTTACTTAAGTGTCGAAAGTTGAGCATGTGGAAAATTAACCGTCAACATATCTTTGAGTTGTCGTGAAAAGCTGTTTTCGAACTGCTTAGTATATTCTGAGAATATTACAAGACCATGCGCCAAGAAATGCGAACAGTTGATCACGCATATTTCTCAGTGATCTAGTATACTGTGTGGACGAGATGCATCTTCCCAACAAACCATACTTTCTTATTTCCGTGTTAGCTTAAACATTCATTACATTAGCCTGATTCTTCAAAAGCGATAGTGTAAGATGTCAAAGTTGCAAGCGTATACTGTCAAAATAGGGCATAAAAGTTAAATGTAAACGTTATCGAAATATCATGAAAAACCGTTATGATGTGGGGAAATTATGATCTAAGCCATGGCAACATGATTCAGTATAGTTTTATACGTGTCACACGAAACTTAACTAGGTGACTATGAGAGAAAGATAACGTTTGTAGTTGAAAAACAACCAATTCATTCTGATTGAATAAATGGTCTAGTGGAAGACTACTCTCCGTTTCTGGGATAAGAAAGTCATCAGCAAAGTAAGTGTTATTTATTATGAAAACAGGAATCACGGTTACTGTATACCCTGTATATCGAGAGACATGAGCCGAACAATTTTTTCAGTATCTTGTATTCAGTCAAAAAGTGTAACGTTAACAGTTTGTGACCTGAACTCCGTTGGTTTTTATCGAACTAGAAACGAAGTGACGACTGATTTCAAATCAATAACAACCTAGTTCAACGACTAGAACTAAGGGCAGCCAAATGTATTTGTGATTGTCAGAGGCTTGACGTTTTCCGTGAAATTCATCATAAGCGAAAAACCTGAGGATGTTGCCACACTGACAGCCGCATCACAACTTACGTCCTTTATGACTTGGTTATGTATCCCGATTGATCACCGAGCCTTAACCAGTGTGGTTTTTATCCAATCGAAACCCATTCACCAGTTTACATTTTGAAAGTGAATAATTTTCACAATTGTTTTTCGTAATAATTGTGTCCTTTGTATTTTCATATTTGTACAGATTTCCTATGCAAAAATATATTCCAATGAATGCAATTGACAACTTGTCTATCTACCTATATTTCTCAATACAGTGTGTTCCCTATGTGAATCTGTGCACATTTAGTTTTAGTGTTGAAAGACTTTATTCTCCCGAAGTTAATTTATTTTTGTGAGAATTCTTTCTAATTTGACACATCTTAATATCACTAACCAGGAGTTACGAAATATCATTGGAAATGATTAGCGGGTAGACACAGGCTGATAAATTGATATTCTTCACTCAAGTTAGGTTCCACGACGTCCGATTCAAACATAACGGCTTCTCATGCTCTCGTTTATTCATCCACAGGATTGAAAATTCAAAGAATGGACTAAAGCATCTTAATTGGTAAATCAAATTATTAGGTAAATGAGTCAGCAACATATACTTATTTGCCATACTCATACTTACTTACGCTTGTTACCACTCATAAAGGAGCGTAGGCGGCTCACCAGCATTCTCCGTCTAACTCTGTTCTGGGCAATCCTTTTCATGTCTGCTTCCAATTCCGAACGCAATGTGTTCCGTGATCATTTTCTTTTCCGTCTGCCCTCAAGATTTCAAGTTAGCGCTTGCTTCGTAAGGCAGTCTGATAATTTCCTCAATGTGCATCCTATTCACATCCAATGAATTTTTTCGATTTCCTCTTCACCTAGAAATAAGTTTGTTCTCTCCCACATTAGGCTGTTGATGATGGTATCCAGCTAACAGACGTTCAGTATCTCATGTAGATAATTGTTTATGAATACCTGCATTATTCTGATGATGGTTGTAGTAGTTGTCGATGTTTCAGCTCTGTACAACAGAACTGTCTTGACGTTCGTTTTGAAGATTCTGACTTTGATATTGGTTGACAGGTATTTTGAGTTCCGTATGTTCGTCAACTGTAGTAATGCTGTTCTTGAATTGCCAATCCTTGCCTCCACTTCTGCATCAGATCCTCCACGTTCATCAATGATGCTGATGAGCCAGGTACGTGTGAGTTCCCACCTGTTCCAGAGTTTCTCCATCAAGTGTGATTGTGTTGGTATTCTCCGTGTTGTATTTGAGGATGTTTATATTTCCGTTGTGTATGTTGAGGCCTACTGATGCAGAGGTTGATACCACACTGTTTTTCTTGACCTGCATTTGTTGGTGTGTATGGAATAGAAGAGCTTGGTCGTCTGCGAAGTCTGAATCGTCTAGTTGCATCCAACCTGTCCACTGGATTCTGTGCTTCCCTTCGATGTCGAGGTCTTCATAATAAAGTCAACCATCAGAAGAAAGAGAAAGGGGCAGAGCAGGTAGCCTTGTCTGACACCGCTCCTCACTCGGAATGCGTCTGTCAGCTGTTCTCCATTAAAACACTTGCAGTGTGGTGCACCGCATTGTAGTGAACAGAACATCAGTGGGGACAATCGAATGTATTTAACACAAAATTACAGGACTTCTTAATAAAATCTAACAATCATAAAGTAAATGCTTAATTTGTGAAACATCCATTAATTGTCTGAAAAAGACTCAGACTTCATTGTTCTTGCATTTTCATACAAATTGCATCCTGCTTCCACTCTTTACTGTTCGATTCGCTTGTCTCTCTGCTGCCAGACCTTCAGTTCACGACCAACATCATATACTACTTATGTCAATATAAGTAGCACACACCATAGTATGAATTCTGGATGATGTTGACGATATTCTCAGGAACTCCATAGTGTTGAAGAAGGTTCCATAATATCCTCCTGTCCACATTGCAAACGCTTTCTCGTGATCAAAGAAGTTGACGTATTGTGACGATATCCATTCAATCGATTATTAATCGACTATCCAGTGTCGCGATTCGGTCTGTGCACGACCGATCCTTACGCAATCCAGCCTGTTGATCTCGAAACTGAGAGTCTACTAAATCATTCATCCGGTTCATTAACACTCCGTTGAAAGCATTCACTCGCACTCATATTAATGTAATGCTCCTCGAGTTTTTGCACTTGATGAGGTATCATTCTTTCCAGTTTGTCAGTGGCACTTGTTCTTTCTCCTAAATCTTCCTGAATAGAACGTAAATCTTGTTTGAAATTACTTCTATGTCTGACTTTTGGTGCTACGACTGGTATATTGTCAGGTCTTGCCGCTTTCCTACTCTTGTTTTGTCTGATGGCCAACTTGATTTCGATCGTTTGTTGAGTAACATATAAAGGGATGGTCTGTGTGAGATGCTTCGATGTCCGGTGACTTCAGCTGTGCTGGTCTATTCAAGTGTCCCTCAAAGTGTTCTACCCACCTGTTCCACTGTTCTTGAATACCAGTGATTGGCTGTTCTTCTTTTTCCCTGACTAGTCTCTCCTATTTACTGTGTTTCCATGCTAGCTTTTTCGTTGTGTTATATAGTTGGTTCATTTTTCCTTAAATCCCAGCTTTCTACTCTATCTCTGTCAGGTCTTTCACGTATTTGTGCTTGTCAGCTCAAATCTTCCTTTTCACTTGCTTGTTTGCTTCTGTATATTCAGATTGTGCCTTGATTTTCTTTGTTCTTGTTCGGCTGATGTTAATTGCTGTCTTCTTGTTCTTCCTTTTTTGAATTTTGTCTAGGGTTTCGACAGAGATCCATTCCTTATGATGATGCTTCATGTGGCCCAGAACCAAACCTCATGACACGTTGAAGTTAGTGTTTCTTTGATTTCTTTCCAGTTGTCCTCCATTGTAGGTCACTGATCCTACTGAGGCTGTATTATGCGTTGTCGATTAGAATGTCGAGCCACAACAAATCAGCATTCTGAAAACAAATTAAGCTTTAAATAAAGCAGGTCTGGAGACATTACTGAGAATATGTGAAATTTAGTTACAATTTATTATGATTTTACTTACACCAATGTGATGAATAACCAGTAAATTTACTGCGCAGTTAAATATTTCATATTGTGTTTAAACCTGTCATAATAATACAATACAATTTCATACTGCGTACTTCGAATTTCAGTTCTTGTTTGTGTCATGTCGAAGTTCTAGACTTATTGGGATTAATACTTTTTTGTTATACTATTTCAAATTCACTAAGAATAACGACAATGTTCACACTAATGCTCGACTGTTCACAAAAAATTCTCCCATTTCTAATTTA